GGAGGTGAGAACTGCCCCACAAGGGCCCCAGAGATGCAGACCAGTTTTGAGGCAATAAGTTGAAGGGTTTATCTCTTCTTTCTTTCTATTTATTTATTTATTTTTTCATTTATCTTCAGATAGCGCGAGAGGAAGAAAGTGGGGAAGAGAGAGAGAGAAACATGGATGTGAGAGACACATCAACTGGTTGCCACCCACACAACCCCAACCGGAGTGGGGACAAACTGCAACCGAGGTGCGTGCCCTTAGCAGGAACCGAACCTGGGACTCTCCGGTCCGTGGGCTGGTGCTCTAACCACTGCTCAGGGCTACCTCTTCTTTTTTACGGTCCCGCCACAATTAGACATGCTCTGGACCCACAAGGAATGGGGCATGGAGGGAGGGGCTGCAGGCATGGAACCAGGAGCCTTTGGGTGACAACTGACAGAAACCTGCCTCTGACTGTGTTTGAGTTTTAAAAAATCGCAAAGAAGAAAAAGGATTGTATTGGTTCTGGTAACTAAGATGTCTAATGGTGCAGCTGGCTTGAAGTATATCAGAATCTCGGCCCCAAAGACTGTCACTAGGGCACAGTCTCTCTCTGCATTGCTTTCCTCCACCTTGGCTTTCTTCCTGAGTACAATTTCACCACCTTGTGGCCCAGCCAGCTGGTGGGCTGCCCCAAGTTTATACTCTCCCAGCAGAAGGCCAGCTTGGAGCAGGGGGAAGACTGCTGGCCTCCTCTGATATGGCCAACAGAAGTCCAGGGAAGGATCTCATTGGCCCAACTTGGGTCATGTGCTTGCTCATGAACCAATCACTGCCCAGTAAATGTAAGAGTTCTGATTGGCTAGACTAGAATCATATGTTCCCTTTAAAATGGGAGTAGTGGGTTATCATCTCCACCTGAACCAGAATGGGAAGAAGTAGCTCTTTAAAGGGAAACCAGGTACAGTACTAGGGTACTATTAACCAAAAAAAGAAAAAGAAAAAATGTGAGGATGGGGGAAGGAGCTTGCTGGCCCAAACGGCAGCAAATGTTCACTTCCCAGGAGGAGTCCTGAGATCCATGTGCAGGGAGAGAAGGGGGTGGGTGGGTATGAGGACTTGGGAGTGAAAAGGGGACCGAGGAATGGGGCCGAGGGCAAGCTTGGCAGAGGCCACAACTAAAAGGGGCTGCTCAGATTTCTGGGATCTTGGCAACCTCCTCTTCAGTCAGTTACTAGCGTGGGGGAAGAGGAAACTTGATTCTCCTAGGTTCTTTAGACAGGTCTAATAATTAAACCTACTTACGACAGATTAACAAGAGAAAACAATCAATTGTAATTACATACGTATGCATGGGAACCCCACATGCATGAGAGTCGGAGACCACACCTACATGAGCAGTTGAAAGTCAGGAAAGTAAAATGAGGCAGATATAACATTCTGAGCCAAGGAGCATCTTGAGGCTTCGGAAGGGAAGGTCATTGCAGGATGACAAGAAGAGCAGATGTTCAGTAATTAGATGTTTGCCTTGCCCTGTAGATCAGTCAAAACAGTTATTTCTGATCATCTCTTATTACGGGCAAGGTCTCTAATTTAAATTCTCCTAGGTAGTTTTGGGGAGCAGAAGTTTCTCTCGAGCCCACAGGGTCTTGATTGCCTTTACCTCAAAATGATCTGCCTACTACAGAGGCACCTCTTGGGGCGACACATTCTGAACCCCTGCACTAGCAACAGGGTCCGGGTGGGACTTCGTCTGGTGTCCTCACCTGAGGAATTTCGTCCTCCCAGAGCAGGTGAGCAGTGGGCTTTGTGGAGTTCTGTGTGGGGGCAAGGGGAGAACACTGGGGCTGGTCCCATGGAACCTGGGCTTTGAGGGGCTTGTCCTGAGTTCCTCAGCAGTGGCCCAGGGAGCTAAAGGAAATCTCTATTTGGGGAGGATTGGATAAATGGGGTTACTGACAGCTCACATCAGCCTGGAAGGGCCTGAGGACTGTTCTAGGTGCTATAGTTGGATAGATCTTGTCCCTGGGACCCAGGGAGGCCTGGGCATGGTCTATGAGCTTGTTTTAGCCACAGCAAAGGACTAATAGTGTCACCTTGGAGTGGGGGCCTTCTTGCCACCCCACTTTTGACTTTTGACTTTTACAGATGAGCAAGCTGAGGCACTAAGAAGTGACTTGTCCGAGGCTACCCCGCTGGAAGGCCCTGGGGTCAGATTTAAATACAACTTTGTTGTCAAAGCCTGTTTTCAATCAGGGGGGAGCTATAGTCCTGTCCAGGGAGACGTGGAGATGATTCCCACCCAGTGGAGGAACAGTCAGTGGGCCGTGGCTGGGGGTGTCTCCAGCCACTGGAGGAACTGGAGTGGCTGGAGCAGTCAGGGTGGCCTCCTGGAAGCTGTATTTTTTTTTTTAAATAATAGTTTCAGATATAATTCACATAACATACAATTCACCCACTTAAAGTACACAATTCAATGTTTTTAGTATAGCCACAAAGTTATGCAACCATCACCACAACCAGCATTAGAACATTTTCTTCTCCCGAAAAAGAAACTCTGTAACGATTAGCAGCCATTCCTTGTTCTCCCCTCTCCCCCCAGCCTCTGGCAACCACCAATGGGCTTTGCCTATTCTGAACATTTCATGTAAATAGAATCCTACAATATGTGGTCTATGACTGGCTTCTTTCCCTTAGTGTAATGTTTTCCAGGTTCATCCATGTTGTAGCATGTATCAATATGTCATCCCTTTTTATGGCCTAATAATATTTCACTGTATGGATATGCTAACAGCGGATAAACAGCACCAGGTGTTAGACCGCTGGCGTCAGACTGGACCTGGGTTCAGCAACCTGGGTACTTGAGTTTTGGCTAAAAAAGAACTCAGAGCCAAGACTCAAACTATAAGAGGAACTTTATTTAGAAAAATCACAGAGTGAGCCATAGAAGAAATGGGCTCAGGAAACAAGTTACAGAGGCAAAAGAAGGGCCCTTGGAGCCTAGGAGAAAGAGAGAGGCAAGGAAAACGCATCTGGGGGGAGCGGGTGGGGCAAGGCGCTGGCACGCTCCACAGAGAACCTCTCAGGGTCCTTGTCCTGAGGTCTCAGGGGGAGAATCTCAGTAGAATATTCATCCGTTTTCCGGGTGCGTCCTTTCAGGGTCCTGGTCTCTACTGACTGGCCAGCGCCAGGAGGTCATTAGTCATTGCAGCTGGTCCTGATGTCAGCCACAGCATCACTGCTTTTCTGGACCTGGAGCTGTAACACAGCTGGGGCCTCGATATCATCTCCAGAGGTTAATGCTTAAGGGAGTGGTCGGGCAAGGGTTTGTAGTCTTGCCCGTTGCTGGGCACCCAGGGCTATCTGCCCTGGTGACCCTCTGCACCTGGCCTATTGGTCCTACTCTGCTCATGCCGATCCAACTGCCTACTGCAGATATGTCACATTTTGTTTATCAGCTCATTAACTGGTAGACATTTGGTTTGTTTCCACTCTTGGGCTATTATGCATAATGCTGCTTTGGACACACACACACACGTTTTTGTGTGAACATATATTTTCATTTCTTCTGGGTAGATACCTAGGAGTGGAATTGCTGGGTCATATGTTTTGCCTTTTGAGGAACTGCAGCCAAAGCGGCTGCACCATTACATTCCTACTAGGAGCCTGCACTTTTAATGTATTTCTCTCTAACTCTTGCCAGGCTGATTTGGTGGCAAAGACAAGGAAGAGCGTGTGAGGGGAGAACAGCAGGGCAGAGGCATGGAGCCCTCATGAGGCTTTTACCAGAGCCCCTGACTTCAGTCCTGTCTGTACCCCAACTTACTGTGTGTCTCAGGCAAGTCACCTCCCCTCTTTAAGCCTCAGTTTCCTTAGCTAGAAACTGAAGGTGTTGGCCAATGGGTCTCAACTAGGGCAGTTTTAACCCCCAGGAACATCTAACATGTCTGGAGAAATTTTTATTACGAGGAGAGAGTGATGCTACTGGTGAGTAGAGGCCATGAATGCTGCTATATATCCTACAATGCACAGGACAGCTCCAAAACTAGGCATTATCTGGCCTCCAACAGTGACAAGGCTGAGAAACCTTGCATTAGACTGAGGTGTCTTCTAGTATCCAGTACTGCCCACTGTGAAATGCTGGGAGGGCAGCTCGTAGTAGGAGGGATTTTGGAGTGTCCAGGCACTTACAATAGAAGCCTCACCATCCCTCCGGAGTTGCTGTATATCTTGTATATTTCCAAGTTGACTGGCTTTCTCCCTCTGCTCCCATCTAGGTGTAGTACCCAGGACCTGAATTAGGTCCCTGGCTTGACAGGTGAACAGACAGCCTTGTAAGATAGTGAGCTCGGCGTCGGTGGAGGCATCCAAGAGAAGGCAGCACGGCCACCTGTGAGGGATGTGGAGGAGGCACTCTGCTTCTGGTCTGGGGCGGCCGTGTGCGATCTGGGGGCTCCTTGTCCCAGGAGTGCCCTGCGCAGAGCTCTCGGCCTCTCCACCTGCCAGTCCAGTCCGCGGCCCGGGCGGCGGGAGCAGGGAGCGCCTTCCTTCCCACGCGACTCTTCGCCAAGTTGGAGAAGTTTCTGAGTTTCCCTCCCGGCTCTCGGGGAGCCGCCCGGGCCACAGCCACAGCCCAGCCCGCCGAGGCAGCACCGCGGTTGGGCGCCCGCGCCGGGAGCCTCCGCCGGGCACCGCCCGCTGCCAGGCCCGCCCCGGGGGGCGCGGCCCCGTTTCCGTGTGCTCCCGGCCTCGAGCCCCGAGCCCCGCCGAGAGGCTTTTGACAAAAAACAACAAACCCACCCTTGACCACCAGGGCCAGCCTCTTCCTGAAAGCCCCGCTCGCTCGGATACAGGAAGTGGAAGGAGCGGGCGCGCCAGCGCGAGGCGCGGCTTCCACTGGGCGCGCGGCTGCGGCGGCGCCCGCCGGCCCTTCCCGAGGCCAGCGCGAGGGCCATGCGGGCGCCCGGGCCACCGCGGCCCGCGTCGCCGGGCGCCTGACCCCTCCGTCCCCGTCCGCGAGCTGCCGGCGGCATGATCCGACGGGCCGGGGCGCCCGCGCGCGAGGACCTCGCCGGGTAAGTCCGAGCCGGAGCCCCCTCCTCCCTGTGTCCCGGCTCCGCTCGCCCGTCCGGGCCGCCCGCTCCACATCCCCGTCCCGTCCCGGGAGAGCTGGGAGCTCCCGCAGGAGCCTCGGCCGCGGAACCTCCGAGTGTCCGGCGGAGACCGAACCCGCGGCCAAGACCCCCGGTTCCGCGGAAGGGGGTGGCCCTGGTGACTCTGCAAGACCCCGAGACTTGGCACAACTTTCAAGCCCAGACGGCGCTCTCTGGCAAACCGGCCGGCACGGTGGGCCGCTGGGCGCGCGGGTGCGAGAAGGGCGGCTCTACCTGTCAGAGCCCAGGCGGAGGGGCTGTAGACGTGGCCGGTCCCCGGGTCCGGTCCCGGGCTCCTGTCCCGCCTGAACTTTGGATGCAAACACCCGTGGCCCCGGCCCTGCCAGCTTCCCGCCCCCGCCGCTCCTCCTGCCTCCCTGGGAGTCCACGGGCGCTAGCGCCGGGCAGGACGTGGGGTGGGGTGCCAGGGTCCCCGTAACTTCGGGTGCTTGAGGCCCAACAATGACCAGCCCGCCTAGACTAAGGACCCCCCGGGATCCCCTCCCCCGCTCCTCTGGCGTGTCTGGGGACGGTGACCTTCGGACCGTCTTTGCCAAGCCTGGTGCTTGGGGAGGCACCAGGGTGCGCGGGGGTCAAGTATGTCCTGCGGCATTTCGGAGAAGGTGCAGCTTGGAGTGCGTGAAGCCGAACCGGTATGGGAACCGGGTCTCCAGTGACTGGTTTCACCACCTCGAAACCTCAGGCTTTGGGACGTTGCCCTGGGCGTGCTCCGCGCAGGATCCCACGCCCCACTCCCCGGCGCCATCCCAGGAAAGCTTCAGGGGGCTGTGGAGGCTCCCGTTGGCAGGCAGATTCCTGGGAAAGACTCAGAGCCTTGCTGGGTGCCAAAGCTGATGGCGCCTCTAGGAGCGCCATTCCCAGCTTTTCATTTGAAAAGTCCTGGGCCTACTTCTGTGCTGGACACCCAGCCACGGCCTGGCCCAGCTACCTGACCTCGTGCCCAGGGCCTCAGTTGTCCGCTTGTAAAACAGGAGAGTTGAGTTGATCTTATGCAGTCCCGAACTGGGGTGGGGTGGGGGGGCTGCTGGAGGTGACTGGCTCCAGCTCTAGTGAGTGGGGTGGCTTGGAGGGGCCCTTAAATTCATCTAGATCTGAAAGCCTCCCTCCTCCCGGCCTCACTTCTCCGTCCATTGCCACCCCAACAGTAAAATTCTGCCTGCATGCTTCCCTTGGAAGTGACTTCTAGAAAGACAAATGCCATCCAGTGGGAGGAACTGGGAATTCCTTTGGGGAAGCTCCCGCCCCCCTCCCCTCCCCCAAGCATCTGATACACCCAATATTTCGGGGTGGAGCTGGCAAGGAGGAGTTTCCCTAGGAGGGAAGGGTGGTAGAGGTGAGAGGTCGGAGACCTGACCTGTCCAACTTCCCACTTTCCTCCCAGGGATGACTTAGCCTGATCCACTTCCTCTTGCCTTTCTTTGTTCATTACTGGGCCAGTAATGTGACCTCTGTGTGCCTCAGTTTACTGATCATAAAATGAGGGTGAGTAATAATAACTACCCTTAATAGCTATTTTGAGGATTAAGTGAGATAATGCATAGAAGGAGTTTTGCACCTTGGCCTTCAGGTAAACGCTTGATAGTTATTACTACTACTACTATTATTATTTGTTGAGTGCAACCCCTCTGTTTGCCAGCTGTTTAACCCTGGACAAGAGACCTGACCTTCGCCTCATCTGTAAATTGGGGATGATAATAACACCTATTCATAGGATTGTTATGAGGATTGGATGAGCTAAGGGTTAACACATGAGCCCAGGCCTTAGAACAGTGTCTGGCGCATCCTACGTGTTAGATGAATATTGGTTTGCTGCTGAAAATGTTGTTTTATTTAAGAGGACCTTTTGGGCCCTGGCCATTTTGGCTCAGCGGTTAGAGCGTCAGCCCTCGGACAGAAAGGTCACAGATCTGATTACCGGTCAAGGGCCAAGGACATGTGCCTGGATTGCAGATTTGATCCCCAGCCCCAGTCAGGGTCATGCAAGAGGCAGCCAACTTATGTATCTTTCTCCCATCGACATCAATGTTTCTCTATCTCTCCCCCCGCTTCTCCCTCTCTCCCTCCCTTCCTCCTTCCTTTCTACTCTAAAAAATCAATGGAAAAATATCCTCAGGTGAGGATTAATAACAACAACAAAAATAAATAAACAAATAAGAGGACCTTTTGCCTTGGAAGGGTTCCTAGATCACATCTCCTTTAACATTGCACCAGGTACAGGCATCCCTTTGACAACATTCCTGAAAGGTCCTTGCATACCTCCAGTGACAGAGGGCTTGCCACCACTTGACAGGCAGCTAACCAAAGAAAGGAATTTCTGAACTTGAATTGCAGTCTGCCTCCTGACTTCTACCATTTGAGACCCTGTTCTCCCCTGTGGAGCCCAACACTTCTTGACTTTCTTCTCAGTGCAGCCCCTGTGTCCCCTGTTCCATTGCACACACCCACCTGTGTTACATGCCCAAAGATGCTGAGGAGCAGTCATCTTTGACCCCTTACCCCCACACCCTGCCAGTCCCAGGTCCTCAGCTGAGCTCAGCTTTCCACCTGGCTTCCCAGAGCCCCTTCTTGATGGTGGGAAATGGATGTTCAGACAGCTGGGGGAATGCCTCCCTCACCCCCCAGGGACCAGGGTGGTGTCACTTGGATGCTGACCCCCTGGAATAGGAGTATGAGGATCTTGGCAAGCAAGCTCTGCCTACTTCGTATTGAAAACATCGACTGGGGACAAAGAAAATGCAGACAGGCTGCCCAGTACCCTGGGTGCAGACACTTTTTCTCCCTCCATTCAGGGTTCTGCTGACTCATTCAAGGTTCATTCAACAAATAGTGTCTGCATTAGGTGGGGGCAGGGACCCAGCTTTTAATGAAGACCCTGCCCACTTGCAGCTGATATTCCCAAGAGAAGAGACAGAAAGTCAAGATAAGGGGTGTGGGGACCTGGAGGGGCTGCTCCGAAGCAGGTGGTCAGGGAACGCCACTCCAGGGAGGTGGCATTTATCAGAGGCCTAAAGGAAGTAGAGGGAGTGAGGCAAGACCTGGGGGGATGTGGTTGGCCTGTTGGGAACACTGAAGTAGGGGAGGCTGGAGTGGAGTGTGGGCGATGAGGACAGAGCAAGGCTGGTCAAGTGGGGGAAAGGCTTTGGGGACTGCTCTGAGTGAGCCGGGGCCATAGGTGGGGTTTGCACAGAGGGGTGACATGATGTGGTTTGGGGCTGTACTGAGGACAGACTGTCGGAGAAGCAGAAGCAGGAGCGGGGACACCTGCAGGAGGCCCCTGTGGAGGCCCGGTGGCCAGGACAGAGGGCTGGGGTGGGGATGGAGTGGGAGTGGAGATGTGGAAGCTGGAGCTCAGGCTGTGCTGATGGATGGGGACGAGACAGGCGTCCAGGATGACTCTGAAGTGGTGACAGCCTGAGGGTCGGATGCCAGACTTTGTGAAGGGTCACTGAGGGTGTGAACGCTTAGAGCCCACGCTCTCCTGTGTGATACATTGTGGGCCTGCTTAAGAGTTCTTTAGAAAAAGGATTCCACGCTTGGAAAAACGTGGCCATCACAGTCCCCTAATGCAGCAACAAGGAAACAGAGACCCCAAAAGAGGAAGTGCCTCACCAAGGTCTTGGGAGGCGGAGATGGAGCTGGGCCTAGAACTCTGGGCTTCTGAGCCTGGGCCTGCAAGGGCTGCCTGAGCAAGGCCTGGCTTTCTGCCTCATGCCTGACATAATGTGGGGTCCTGCTGAACCCCTTGAGAGGAGCCGCTCAACAACTCCAGCCACTAAGACAGGGGACTCTCTGGGGTGGGGCCCACCCAGAACGGGGACCAGTGATGGATTCAGGGACTGATCTGGGCCTCTTTGCTTTCAGGGGCTAATGCTCCCAGGTGGGCCTGGCTGACACTCAGCTGGGAGTCCCACCCTCTTCCAAGCCCTAGAAGCTCACAAGCTCAGGCCTGCACTGCTGGCCCTGAGAAGCCCCCCGGGAGGCAAGTAGGAGTGCAGGGGGTGGGGGCACAGGGTCTGTTTGGGCTGTGGGAATCAGCACATTTGACCCGGAGGCCCTCCCTCCCAACCCCCCTCCTCCACCAGGCCCTCTGGGCCTGGGGCCCTGTTCAGTGATCTTTTCTGAAGCAGAAGTGTTAAAGCTTAAAGTGTTATGGGGACACCTGCAATTTAATCCAGGAGATCAGGAAATTAAAAACAGAAACCAACCAGGAATAGGTGTGACATCTGAAGGGGGACTCGTCCCCAGGCCCCCCACAGCTGTCTCAGGCCTCCCTGGGGCTTCCTTTTTCAGACAGGAGCCTGAGCTGTCCTGTGAGGGGCACCTCCCAGCCAGGGGACCAGAGCAGAGGGAAGACAGGACAGACCATGTGCTAACCACAAGCTCCATCCTGCCCACCCCTCAAAGATCCACTGTCACAGATTCTCCCGTGAGTGAGAGTCCTGCCCCCAGTGCCCACATCCAGGCAGTGACAACGGAGCCAGAGCCGGAGCCGACCTGGGTGGCAGCAGGGGGGGGGCAGGTCGGAGGAGAGAAGTGCCTGAGCAAAGGAGTGGTACCCGTAGGGGTGAGCGCAGCGGGGAGGGAGGCTGGTTTTGGCCTGGGAGAGATCAATGGAAACGGGCAGGAGTAGGAAGGGGGCACCCACGGGACCCTGTCCTCAGGGCCTGAGTTACTCCAGGGGCTTGGGGCACCTTTGTGTCCAGAAAGAGCCCCAACATGGGGGAAGTGACTCAGAAAGGACCCCAACTTCCTGCTGCTCCCCTCTCCCATCTGTCCCCCATTAGGGAGTCACCTTTAGAAGGGAGTAAGGGGCCAGGAGTCATCCGGTTCTAGGCAAGTCAGCTTAGAGACGGTTAGCGCTACTCTGATGGCCAGTAACTGTTCCCCTGAATCTACTGTTC